GAGCTGACCCTAACCTAAAGTAAAGTGTCTCTACTTTGGGAAGCTCGTGAAAGTTTAGAAACTTGCCTTTAAACAGCAGGTGAATCTCTGTACTTAAGACTATCTTGGGACAGAACTCTGACTCAAGGCCTAATTCATTCCGAAGATAGCTGAGACACTTCTGTAGCTGAATTTCAAGACCATAGCTATTCCTCTGCAGCTGTTCCTCCTGGTCTCGGCTAGAGATGCAGCAGTGTTTGGGAGCGACAAGGCCAGAAGAGCACTGGCTAGCTAATTAACACTAAACTACAGTATAGTTACAATGCTGGTATAACACGGAAGGCTTGCCACATCCTTAATGTGTTCAGATTTATTTCTAGAGTGCTACCGGCTGAATCTTGGACTCCTATCTATATTCCATCTGGATGATGTCGTTTAGTTTTCTACCTTTAAATACTGTCTAGATGCTGATGACCTCTAAATGTATGTCTGTAGCCCAGATGTCTCCCCTGACCTCAAAACTCACATAGCCAATTACTATGCTTGACTTCTCTATTTGGAATTCTACTGGGTATCTCAAACCCAGTAAGGGGCTCCCAAGTGGAATTCTTGCTTTTTCCTCCCAAACCTTCTCTCCCCAGTCTCACCATCTCCGTAAATAGCTACATATACCATTTGACCAGTGACTCAAGCCAAAAAACTCAAAAGTCAGCTCAGATTTCTCCCTTTTCCTGATGTCCACCATGTAGTCCATCACCAGATTCATTTATTTCACCTCCAAAAAGCTCTCAAATAATCTACTTCTCTCCCTCTCCACTATCCCACCCTAGTCCAAGCCATCGCCTTCTCTTACCTGGAGTACCACAAAACTCTTGGCTTCTTGCTTCTGCCTTTCACTCTCCAGTCCACCTCCATCACCACAGCCAGCATGAGCCTCGGTCCTGCCTGTGCTCAGACCCTTTAATGGCTTTCCACTGCTTGTAGAACAAAGCACACATTCTTCACGTGACCTGGGATGACCTCAGCATTGCCTACTTTTCCAAACTCACCTTATCCTCCTCTCTACTTCTCTTACTGGCCTCCTTTCTATTCCTTAAAAACACCAAGCCCTCCTGCAAGCCTGTACCTTCCTCCAGCTCTTCATACAGCTGGTTCATTCTTATTCTCCTCATCCCAGCTCGAATGTCACCTCCTTGGAGGGGTTTCCTCGTCTAATCCATCTGACTAAGCTTCCTATGAGTCCCTGGCTCAGTAGCATGTTTCATTTCTTCAGTACCTATCACAATAAATGTTTATACTGCTTGTGTACATTTTACTTCATTCATTCAAATAGTTATAGATCATCTATCCTGTGATCCCCTACCATGTTGTAGGTCCTGGGGTGTAACGTGAACCATATAGTTCTCTGTAGCTTAGATTCAGGTTGAGAAGACAGACAATAAGACGAATAACAAGTAAATAGACAGCATAATGTCAGGCGATGAACATGCTATGGAGAACAATAGGGTAAGCAAATGGAGACAGAGATGAAGCAAATAAGAGGTACCCGAGGACATATAAGAACTAATGGTGGGTAAGAAAACATCACAAATACGTGGGCAATGGGTGTTTTATGCAAATTGATTTTGAAGAAATAAACTATTTTGAGAAAATTAATTTTAAACCATATCTCACAGCATAAATTCCAGGAGGAATTAAAAAGTTAAGTGTGCAAATGAAATCATAAACTAGAACAAAATTACCTTATCTATGGATGGGTAAGAATGGCAAAGTCAAAATATGGAAAGGAACTCCATGAAATGATTGATCATCTACATCATAACTTCATATTCCTGGTATTAAAAGAAAATCATGAAATTAAGATGTGAACAAATTGGGAGAAATGCTTGCTACAAATAGGAATAGTAAAAAAACTAATAATGTTAATATAGGATATATCCTCAATTCTAAAGCTCTTTTTTCCTTGCATTTTAATGTTTCCTGAAATCAGGATATCTTTTTCGTTCATGGTGTACATTTAATGTGGTCACTAAAAACGTTAAATTAATAGTGTATTTTATAAGTAATAACATCTTACAATCAAAATGTGATTTTTTTTTTAAGTTCATAAAAATTAGTATGAACCTTAAAGTTCCTGGTAGAAAATACCAAGTTCATTCATTCATTCAACAAACATTTAGTGTTTATGATGTAGCAAGGTGGTAGGTGTAGAGTGGTAAACAAAATAGACAAAAATCCTGGTTTCTAGTGCCTTCTCTAGGCCAGTCAGTGCTTGGCACCCTGCACACTACTTATAGCCAATCTAAGGTCAGTTGGGTTATTTCTGCAAGAATACGTACCTTGGCCCAGGCCACTCAGTAGTTAAGTGATGGAAGCAGATCCAACTCAAGTCTGCACGGCTCTAAACCCTGTGCTCTTCCCTCAAATTATCATAATTGTTGAGCTCGGTGAAGCTTTCACACTCAGTCTTGCTGACAGAGCCATCATTCCCTTGTCCTTCTTTCTTCTCACCTGCCTCAGCCCTGGGTGTAGAACTCCATCAAGGAACTGTTGGTGGAAATAGAAAGCATTGCAGTGGATGCCCCAGCCAGGGCTGATGTCGTTTTAGCAAAGGATAAACAAGCTTTGCCAACAGGACACATAAAAAGTCTAGTCCTACATCATGTTGCTGCCCTCCTAGATGCTTTTTCAACTTGTGCTAAATAATACATATCATTTAAATTTGAACAAACATTTTAGCAATAAAAAAGTAAACAATTTACAGTCATAGATTTTGGGAAGGATGAGAAGGAAAAAGGACACACCATACGCTCTTCGCAGTGTCTGAGAGAAAGATGATTAGAAGTTGTCCTAAGTTGGGTGTTCTGGAAGCAGAACCTGTGTTGGGGATTCTTGTGCGAGTGATTTATTGAACGAGTGCTCTCAGGAGAAGGGGAGAGGGAAGCAGTGGGCAGTGAGGAAAAGCAAGGATGTGGTCTCCACTGGAGACGAGCTTCCACCTGATCCCAGGGGAGCCTCTGGGGCGTGAATTGTACCAGATCGATCCCTCACTGAAGCAGAGGAGCTGATCTTTTGTAGGCCTGTGTCAGCCAGGCATTAGCTGCATGTTATCTGGGGGTCGGGTGTGGCTCCCTGGGAATGGGTGCACTGCCCAGTAAAGGGGATCTGGGTGGGACGCCGACAGCATCCATTATAGAAGTTCAAAAGGAAATTAATTCGGAAGATTATCAAGTGAGAAGTTTTGACACACAGCAGGAGCCCTCTGACTCGATATGCCTACTGAACACAGGAATATCATCAGGGAGTTGGTTTTTATTTTGCTTTAGGGTGTTAAGGTATTAGATCAGCTTTGGTAGAAGGAAATTTTGTTTCTAAGGATGGCATAATGGCAGGTATGCTCTGCAAAGGCTGAGAAGGTTCTTATGGAATTTTTTAAGTTATTGTTGGAAAAAGGAAAAGAGAATTAGAGATATAATTGGAAACCATTGTCATAAACTAGCTTATATAATACCAACTTTGTCAGAAGAATGATACTCAAACTCGACAGCTATGATACATTTTTAATCTAGATTTTTCTTTTTTTATTTTTTTTTAAAGATTTTATTTATTTTATTTTTTCCCCCCAAAGCCCCAGCAGATAGTTGTATGTCATAGCTGCACATCCTTCTAGTTGCGGCATGTGGGACTCGGCCTCAGGATGGACGGAGAAGTGGTGCCTCGATGCGCACCCGGGATCCGAACCCGGGCCGCCAGCATTGCAGCGCGCGCGCACTTAACCACCAAGCCACAGGGCTAGCCCCCTAGATTTTTCTAAAATCATTTTACACATTGGTATTTTCCTGTAAATACATTTTTGCTAACAGTGCTTTGCATAGAATGTTCAACTATATAATGGTGGATACATGTCATTATATATTTGTCAAAACCTTTGGAATATACAACACTGAGAGTGAACCCTAATGTCAACTATGGACTTTGACTGATAATGATGCATCAATGTAGGTTCATCGATTGTAATACGTGTACCATTCTGGGGCGGGATGTTGATAGTGGGGGAGGCTGTGTGCACGTTGGGGCAGAGGGAACATGGCAACTCTCTGTACTTTCTGCTCCATTTTGCTGTGAACCTAAAACTGCTCAGAAGCAATGTTCTGGAGACATATTTTTAGTAAAGTTCTCTCCACCTGGATATCCGTTCCCACCATCTCCAGTGTAATTTATTTGTCTAGTAGATGGGAAAGTTAGTTTGGAAATGCCATCCTGACAAGCCTCCCAGTACTTCAGAGGGTCCCTCATGGAGGATGATTAAAATAATCAGAATAGTCTATGACTGCATCTTCTTGAGCAAGGATTATCCAGAAACAGTGTATTTGGTTTGAAGTTTTCTTTTCATATTTGTCTGCACAGAGCTCAGGAATATATTTCAAGTTAAAATACAGTAAGAATCAGGTGAATAGCATCCACTGATGGTGTACTAAATTCCTTCAGTACCTTTTCTCATAGCATAGAACTCACTCTATGCTGTGAAGGATACCTACATAACACATACAAGGCATTTCAGGTTATGTGTGCGCATGCATGTGGATGCACACACACAGACACACACACACCTTCCTTAAAGAAAAAGGAAACCATAACCCACTCCATATGAAGTGATTGACTCATTTCCAGAATGTTATGTAGATTCAGCCTACAAATAAAATTTAACATGTTAAGTTTTTAACCAGAACTTCTTAGAATTATTTTCTGATATTAACATTATATGCTTGTTGGGTTTTATTCTATTACTTTAACCCCAATGGACAGGTATCTCCCCCACAAGAAGGTATTTGAAACTGAAGTTAATATGGATGAAAATGAAAACTAATAACCTTTATCAAATTACAGTAAGATTTACCCTATAAGCTGCTTAGCGTTTCTATAGAAACATGATCTACTGAGTTTTATTTTGGAAATGTGATTCTCCAGAGTTGAGACGACATTTCTAACGCTGTTTGTGGGCTGTCTCTTCTCCTCCGCAGGCCTTGAACCGGGGCATTGCTGCTGTCAAGGAAGATGCAGTGGAAATGCTGGCCAGCTACGGGCTGGCGTACTCCCTAATGAAGTTCTTCACAGGTCCCATGAGTGACTTTAAAAATGTGGGCCTGGTGTTTGTGAACAGCAAGCGAGACAGGACCAAAGCTGTCCTGTGCATGGTGGTGGCTGGGGCCATCGCTGCCATCTTTCACACCCTGATAGGTAAGGCTGTTGACCATCACTTAAAGATCTAGCATTGGTAATTTCTTATTCCTTTTAATTTATCTGAATGTATTTATTATAATAAGTGACTTCTGCAATAATTATCAAATATTTCTCATGAAAATTTCAAGGGATGGAAGGAATGGAGTTTGTGCTCCTAGCTCAAGAAAAGAAAATGTGTTTTCTCTGGGAAGCTGTAGTTTTGTTTCTTTGATTCCCAAACCTGGTGTCAGAGAGGGAGAGATTTCATTAATAGGTGATCAGATCTAGAATTAGCATTCGGTAAGGTCAACAAAATGGCAGGTGCTTTTGTTAGAGACATGCATTATTGTACAGACTCATTTAATCTTAAGAATAATAATAGGATTGTTGTATAGAATTAATGTTTATTATCAGTCATAACAAATGTCAGAGTATTTTATGTATTAAAATTACCTTATTTTAGAGTCTCATTATTCCATTTTATTCAAAGATGAGACTAAATACTCTTTGTGTAACGTTCTTTCCATGAAAAAATAAGAGCTATATTATACAGACAGTGACTGCCTACAGTTTCACCAAGACCTTGGAAAAGCATGTTTCTTTAGAGCTGGAGTTCTCCCTCTGCTGCCTTCTCAGTGGTGATAAAACCCCAAGGGCATGATTTCAGAACTTGGTTTCGAAACAGCTCTGCTTACCTGGTGTCAAAATTGAGTGGCACATCTATTGAACCCAGTTGCATAAAACCTGTGGACGACACTTCTTAATCCATTGTGTACCTTAAAATTGGCACTGGTTGTATGAGAACCGTGAATGTCAGTGTCGAATAAAGGAGCCAGAAGATTAACCCAAACAATGGACAATGTATTCAGATGGCAGCTAATGTTTACTCATATAACTGTGAGTCTAAAAGTTAATGGAGTGAGGCCTTTGTGGTTTTCCTTCTTAATGTAGCAGAGAATTTTGTGTTAAGAACAGTGTGGAAGAGATGATGCTACTGGTGCGCCAAATATTCAGCCACAGTGTTGCTATTGATCATCTAATTTGGGTTTGGAGCTTCAGGGCATGGGGTAGAGAGGAGAAGCCTTTCTTTCCCTCAGCTGATGCCCTGAATACTAACTTATCCACTGAGTTTCGAAGAAAACTTCTGCAGCCAGATTTGATCTGGGCCATTTTCAAAGATGTTTTAGTATTTGAGAAAATTCCATACATGAAATGAATAGGTCCACATAAATTTTTGTCTAAAGAGGTAAATGAGTTCTCTTGAGCTACTAGTCTTTTTATTTGGATTTCTAAGTAAACCTCACATTCCCTGTTTTAGTCATGGTTAAATAAGACTTTGGGACTAACAGCTAATTACTAGCTCTCAGTAATTATGGAGGAAAAAAGCTGAGTGTACTGTGTTACTGAAATTGTTGTGAGGAACCTGTGGTCATTGAAATAAAAATCAACATCATTTTCTAAGTTAACTCTAAGTTTTTCAATTTTAAAACAGAATCATAAAATCTTTTTTTTTTTTTATAATTTTATTTATTTATCTTTCTTCCCCCCAATGCCCCAGCAGATAGTTGTGTGTCATAGTAGCACGTCCTTCTAGTTGCTGTATGTGGGACGCGGCCTCAGCATGGCCGAAGAGGTAGTGCGTTGGTGCGCGCCCGGCATCTGAACCCAGGCCGCCAGCAGCAGAGCACAACCACTTAACCGCTAAGCCATGGGGCCGGCCCCTGGAATCATAAAATCTTAAATTTGAATCAAAACAGTTCTACATCCAAGATATATTTAATAATCATTTTTATCACTTTTGAAATTTTTACAGTTATAGCTTTTTTCTTTTTCCCAAGCATGCTTTCTGCAATTGCTAAGAAAGCACATATCAATTTCTTTTGAACATTTAAAACTCAGATTTTAATAACTTGTCATCTTCTAGTTTGTTGGTCTCATTTCAGTTTTCTGCCTGACTGTTGAATCTCTCTCTCTCTTGCCTTCTGCTGCATTGGGCATCTTGGCTCACCTTCTTCCTTCCTTATTTAGTTATTCTGTAAGCTTTTCTCTACCCAGATCTTGCCTGTTCTTTGTTTCCCATAATCTTGACCAGAAGCTCCAGATGGAGTGTTGCTCTTGCTCCAGCCCCACTTTCTCCTACCGTCAGTCAACATCCCTCCACATCAGTTTCTACTTTGTGTGTCACCTACACTAGACTCTTCGATCCGTTTTCACGTCTTAGTAATGCTGAAAACAGCTACTTAGGTTTCTACGTAAATGGTCAGCTCTGGGATAACTATGCTGGTGACAGGGGAACAGTGACATTGATCAACCAAAAAAGCAATTATGCCTAATACATTTGACTTGAGGAACCGTTGTATGCTATCAGGCAGTCTTCCTAATTATATCCGCTTGGACTGATACTGAAATGAATATATACTCCCTGCATGATCAGCTTTTGAGGGGCCTGCAGTAAGGGCAGGAAGCCGTATATTACATATTCACCATGCTTAACTCACGGAGTGGAAATATGAACCTGAGTCGTCTAGGCTTGAAACTTAATTTCTCTGTATTCTTTTGTTCAGGCAAAACTAGTCTAATTGCCTTAAACTTGCTTTTTAGGTGCTATTTCCCCATTGCCTTAATGAATTTCTTTCTTTGATCAAGAACTTCTAACTCTTCAATGGCATTTATATAAGGACATGTGAGAGCGTAAAGAGGGAAGAGTCTTTATTTTGGGGGTTGGTTCTGAAAGGGCTCATGGAGTGCGTCATCTCTTAACTGCCTCTGAAAGCATGGTGTATTTCAGCAAAACTCTAATTTTTCCCTTATCTTTGATATAAGATGGAGTCGAGAATTTGACCCAGTGCTCTAAATTAATTTTTTGCTGTAACCATATAAAATTCCAAATGGTGACTCTTCTCACCTATTACATTTCTGTTAATTCAGTCTGGCATCAGACTCGTGGTTTTAACACCACTCCAGCGTTCTGTGTGTTTTTCAGTTTCATGGCCAGCTCTTCTTGGCTCCTGTTTGCTTTGTTTCCCACCTCACCTGTTTATTCATTTTATTCTTTACAATATTAGTTACTTTTCCCAGCATGATGCCTTCTGTACATTTAATGAATGTATTTCTCTTTTTAGATGTTCTCAAACACTGATAAAATCCATCCGTTTTCCCTTATGATGTTGTTAATATGAATGTTAACTGTAAAGAGATCCACTACTGGTGTTAATAGAGCTGATCTTCCTGCTTTGAATATTGGGGGCTTTGACTAAAGGAGGGTGAGAGTCAGAATTGTCCTTTGTTTAACTCACTTTTAAAATAATCCCATCCCCATCTGTCCTGGCAGTGGTCCAACAAAATATTTATTGGACAAATAGTATGTGCATGTCATTCCAGGTCCTACTGATCAAAAGAAGGGAACAGAGCTGAGAGAGGTACAAAGGATATGGGGGCCTGATACACCCTTCTCCTTAAGTAGATGTAGTTGTGCATGTTCAGCGCTGATTTCTAGAAAAACATTGGCAAAAGCTGTTTTCAGCCAGTGAGAGCTTTTGAGAGATGGTAGAGGCAAACCAAAGTCAAAATGGGGGGAGTTAAAAACCACCCCTGGACTAGAGAGAGCAGAGCGACAGCAAGAAAACAGACAAGAGGGAGCTCTTGGTGAGGAAAAGATGTGGGAGGCACACAGTAGCCACGCATTTATAAATCAGGGGGAAAGTAAAGCAAGAAAGAGTTCAGTGTTGAATGTCACAGGTACAGTGGATGCCCTGTGCTAGGTCGGGGCAGATAACAGGGGAAGGAGGTGTGGAGCCTGAGACTGTACAAGAGCTCAGTGGACAACTCTGATGGCAAAAGGGGAAGAGAGGAGGAGAGAGAGGGAGGGGGAGGAGGGAAGTACAATGCAGAAAGAGGACCAGGCAGGGAGGGCATTATGCAGTGAGCCCTACAGTTGTATCTGAGTGTCCTGGAGATCCTTTGACACCAGTGGGAATTTTTGTGACATCTCAGGGACAACCATATTGAATAAAGCAGATTTATTGTAGTGTTCATGTAAGTATGTCTAATGAAGCTTTAACCAAGAAAGATCTATATATTCTATTTATTTGCTTCTTTATAACCTCATGGTCTCTAAAGAAATTTTTAATATTTAGAAAAGTTAGATGTATTTTACCATTCTGCATCATCTCCTTGGTTCTGAACTAGTGCCTTGGTTAGGTACTTTTAAGAATTTTTTTTCCCATAGATTGTGTATTCCCTGATGCTTCCAGGCATTAGAGAAATCCTGATTTCCAGCATGATCTTCTCTATCTTAGATTTTTTTCCCATTGTGGATGAACCTTGACACTCCATACTTTTCAGTATCTACTAATAATCTACCAATCGCTGGAGGCTCTTCTTCACTTAGAAGGATGTCAAATGTGAGCATCTCCAGCTTTGAAAAACCGGTTTCAGATGTAGCTCCTTAGAGTGAAAGGGTCATAGTCGGACATTTGAAATAGGCATAGGTCAGAGAGCACTAAAAGCTCTTTTATAGTGTCACCCATTGTTAATGGTGCTTGCCCCAATAAAGGAAAGAACCTTTTACCGGGTCCTTTTCGTTACATTTTCTGTAAAGAATTCTTCTTCCTATGTTTCATATTCATTTTCTCTGATTTTTTTTTTTTGTCTTTTTGGACCCCACTGGTGAGCCAGGCATTCTCCTCTCCTTCCTTGCGAGACATACACATGGTTATTAGTTTCCCCAGACATGGCTAGAGCAGACCCCACTGACCATACAGGCAGTTCCCCTGGAATGCATGGTCGGGATTGTGAGGGAAAGAGCTCTAGAAAATGTAGCCAGCAACCCCCACCCCAAAACCTTATGCAAGAAGTCAAATGAGTAGACACTTGGAATTGTGTTGGACTGACAGACTTGAAATCTAGAAGGTCCACTGGCCCCATAGTTCATGTCTATTCTATGTGCCCCATAGCCTGGCTCTAGATACTCGATGGAAGTATTTCTGGCTTTTTGTTCTTGGCCTGTGTTGGACAAC